TGAGATGTAGTACAGTGAAAAGTACAATATGTACCTCTGAGGTGTAGTACAGTAAAAAGTACAATATGTACCTCTGAGATGTAGTAAAAAGTACAATATGTACCTCTGAGATGTAGTACAGTGAAAAGTACAATATGTACCTCTGAGATGTAGTACAATGAAAAGTACAATATGTACCTCTGAGATGTAGTAAAAAGTACAATATGTACCTCTGAGATGTAGTAAAAAGTACAATATGTACCTCTGAGATGTAGAAGTATAAAGTAAATTACAAGTTTGTAAAGACACAATAAATATTAGTATACTTGTGTCTAGTAAAACTACTCAGACTTTTTAAACATAGCGATGAGGATGATGAAGGTGGCGATGAAGGACAGCTTCCTGTCTCATCAGGACCACGATGGAATGAAATGTGTTCTGGGTGTTTGTTGCATCACATGTTGTGTTGAACACGGAGGCTGTGATGTTCCAGTCGTCAATAGATCTGATCGATACACACGGATTCCGATTGGAAGGACAGGAAGTTGTTTGTGTGGATGCAAAGATGGCTGCAGGTTTAAAACAACCAAAAACCAGAGAGGAGCTGGTTTCTCTCTGCAGGAAACAGCTGTTATATGGACACACACACACACACACACACACACACACCTTTCTTGAACTCCTCCAGCATGGCGTCCAGCTTGGTGTCGTGGAACACAAAGTGCACCGGGTGGTTGTAGAACTTGGTGATGGTCTTCAGGGTGGTGCAGTCGTCCGGGTCCACGAAGGCCAGGTCCTTGACGTACAGGATGTCCACGATGTTGGAGCGCTCGTCGTCGAACACGGGGATCCTCGTGTAGCCGCTCTCCATGATCACCGACATGGTGTTGAAGTCCAGCACGGCGTCCGCCTGGATCATGAAGCAGTCGCCCACCGGCGTCATGACGTCCTCCACGGTCTTGGTGCGGAGCTCCAGGGCGCCCTGGATCATGTTCATCTCCTCCTTCACCAGGTCGTTGTAGGGCTCCGTCACCTTCAGCATCTCCACCAGCTTCTCCCGGTTGTACACGGTGCCGATCTCCTGGCCCAGCAGCACGTCCAGCAGCTTGCTGACGGGGAAGGACACCGGGAAGGTGAGGAACATGAAGAACTTGGTCACCATGATGGTGTTGGCGCCTACCGCCAGGCCGTGGCGCGAGCACAGCGCCTGGGGCACGATCTCCCCGAAGATCACGATGCCGATGGTGGAGGCCACCACGGCGCCCAGACCGGACCCGATCAGGTCGTCCAGGAGGATGGTGAGGGTGGTGTTCACCAGGACGTTCCCCAGCAACAAGGAGCAGAGGAGGTAGTTCCCTTTGCTGCGGATGGGCTCGATCTTCCGGGCGTCGCTCCTCTCCTTGTCGGTGCCGCAGCTCTGCACGATGCGCAGCTCCATCGGGTCCAGAGCCATCAGGCCCAGGTTCAGCCCGCTGAACATGCCGGAGAGCACCAGCAGGCAGCAGATGACGATGAGCTGCAGCCACATGGGCAGCATGGACTTCTTCTCCTCCAGCACCAGCAGCCGGCCGTCGCTGTCGCCCAGCTGCACCCACCTGCTCCCGTCGGCGTGGCGCGTGCACAGGGCGTACTCCTTCTGCGGCTCGCTCTTGCGGAGCGGCTTAACGCGCACGGTGAGCACACCGGACGTGCCTCGGCCGCTCACGTTCATGAAGGTCCCGACGCTGATGTCCTTCGTGAAGTCCGCGCAGGTCCTGTCCGGTTCCTCCATCATGCCGCTGCCGCCCCTCGCAGCCGCCACAGCCACCGCCTCCTCCTCCTCCTCCTCCTCCTCTTCCTCGCCGCCGTCCGTGAGCTCCGTGAAGCGGATCTGCGTCCAGGTGCCCGAGTGGAGCTGCACCCCGTAAAACCGGAGCTGCACGGTGCTCTCCTCGGTCACCTGGATGACACCGTCGTCATTGGTGCCGAACGGCTTGTCGCTCCTCTCCAGCCGCATGCCGAGCACCTGTCCGCCGCCTCCGCCGCCGCCGCTCCTGCCGCCGGACGCCGCTGCAGCGGCCGCCGCCGTCTCCGTGCGTCCGCCGACCGCGCTCCACAGGAAGATGATGACGGCGAGAATGTAACCCTGCTGCCCGCTCCATTCTGTCGCCATGTTTGTTTCACTGCTCGGCGACCCGGTGGCTGACGTCATTTACTCATGTCCGAGCGGCTCCGCCTCCCCCCCCCCCGCCGGCCCGTCACTCACACACACACACACACTCACACACACACGCACACGTTATCACCGCCTACCGGACAGCGACAGGTAGAACTAATAAACAAACTCTCCCCCTCCTCCTCTCTCACTCTTCATCTTTATTTATCTGTTTATTTCTGCAGCAGGTAAACGTCTCAAAATGATGCATGCCCCCCCCCCCCCCCCCCTTGTTATTGTCTCTCGGGGCAATGCGGCACACCGCGGATGGAGATGCTGCTGCTGCGGGCAGAGGTCTCTCATCCTCCAATTGTATCCGCAGCCAGCTGCTGTTATGTAATGTAACGGCACATGTCAGCTGTGCACCCCCCCCCCCCCCCATCCTGCACCATCCCGCACCCCTCTGGCACCGAGCCAGGCCTGCTCTGCTACTGAGACTTCATCCGTCTGTATAATAATAGCATTAATTATAATAATATATTAAATAATAACCGCCTTAAGAACGCATGTGACTTAACTGAAATAGCTGCACAGCTTGGACTTCACATGTTAATAATAATAATAATAACAATGATAAGTACAAAACAATGCAAATGTTATTATATGACAGATATTATTATTGGTGTAATAATGATTAAAAGGCTTATTATAATACAATACTAATGATAATAATAACTGTCTTAATGGTACTTTCAATTAAACGAGTGTCGCTCAAATAGACCTTTTACCTTTTTAAGTATTTGAACTTTAAATCACTGCATTAAACTCTTATTTTAATATTTCTTCACCATCTTTATTGTTGGGTCCGAATATTTAGTGACAGTTATGTAACACAACATTTCCTCTCTTACTGCCACCTGGTGGTCAAACCAGTTCAAGTGATTCTGTTTGAAGTTACTGTAAAAATAGTTAAAATATTTATTTGTGTTGTTTGTAAATTATTAAGATTTAGGAGATTATTTAAATGTTACACATCCGCTTATCTTCACTGATTAATGAATAATATATATGTATATATTATAGTGGCTTAACATTTTGGAAGAATATAATTAAATAATAATAATTTATATATAGAATTAAAATTGAATTGTAGTAGTAGTTTATATTATCGTGTTTTAGATTAGAATATTAAATACCAACAGTTTCTGTTCAATACACAATTTCTGCTTTTATTACAAGAAATACACAAATTAAACTACATTAAACTACGTTCTACACGTTATGTGTTATTTTAAAGACTGTTATTCAGTTATGTTTAAGACACAAACACTGCTGAATATTAGAGAGCAGCTTGTTACGTTCTGCTACGTCTACATCTTTAAAACATTCATGTTTGTATCACCAGCGGATTATGAGACACCCCCTCCTCTACTTACAACACAATGGCTTTATCCTTGTTTATCCTCTCTTTGAGGTTGTTTTGTGTCTCTTTGAGGTTGTTTTGTGTCTCTTTGAGGTTGTTTTGGTGTCTTTGTAGTCTTTGTGTCTCTTCATCGTCTATTTAAGTGTCTTAGTGGTCATTTTGTGTCTCTTTGAGGTTATTTTCATCCTTTTCATAGTTGTTGTGAGTCTTATTGTAGTTGTTTTGGTCTCTTTTGTGGTTGTTTTGGTGTCTGTAGTCTTTTTTGTCTCTATATTGTCGATTTAAGTGTCATTTTGTGTCTCTTTGAGGTTGTTTTCACCCTTTTCACAGTCTTTGTGAATCTCTTTGTGTCGTTTTGAGGTTGTTTCGGTTTCTCTGTAGTCTGTTTGTGTCTCTTTGCCGTCGTTTTAGGTTTCTTCGTGGTCTGTTTGTGTCTCTTTGTGGTTGTTTTGGTCTCTTAGTGGACATGTTGAGTCTCTATCTGGTTGAGATGCGTCTCTTTGAGTGACATTTCGTAGGTGAGGGCCAGGGGGCCCCTGACGCTTTGGCCCTCAGGTAGGCCTGTTCATTAATCCATCCATAACTAGAATGACCTTAGTTTAGTAAAATAATGCTATAGAGATTCATTTTTGTAATATAAAGCAGCACAATCCACGCTGTAAATATTTCCCTATTGGAATTCGAACAGTGAAAACATGTCGTCTGTTCTGGGACGACAGTCGATCCTGAGATGTGTTTCAAGTGTGTAACCGACAGTAAACTTAAATCTGTTCAGCGATACGCTTTAAAGAGCAACTCAACACCTGCAGAGAGTCTCGTTGTGGGCTTGCTGCGGTGATGTCACGGTGTACTCCAGGGTGTGTGAGTACACCGTGACATCACTCAGGGCGTTTTCTTATACATCACAGAAACCTGGTGTCCATTATCAGGGTCGAGGACTCTAGAAACCCGATTCCCTTCTGGTTGATTTCTCCTGAAGAACGTCGGTTTATAGTTTGCATTTTAAAGCGCCAATTATTTAATATTGCTGCCATGATAATCAATGAACTACGGAGGGAAGTATGTTTTACTTTAGCTGCTAAATGCTCCACAAAAAGTAACACTATTTAATCAAGTTACCACCGGCTGATTACGAATACTGAACTGATACAAACACAATGATCAGACTGGAGTCCACAGCTCGTGTTTTTTGCCCTGAGGCCCCAAAGAGGGTTGATGCAGCCCTGATGTAAAAGCATTGATTTTGCCGTCAGTGATCGGCGATACTCGGTGAACTCCGTCACTCATGGATCCGTGCTGTCGGTCACTGCAGCCTCCGGTCTCCTTGGCTGTGAGGACTCGGCATCTGTCCGTCCGGAGGAGGAAGAATCTCGACTTTGTAGCTCACCTTCTTAGACTGCAGGAAGCTGTAGCTGTTATCAAAACACAGCACGTCTGCAGAAACAGAAGGAAACTAGAGTTAGTTAAAGTTACTGTGAGGAACTTTTAACTGGTTCTGAACCAGTCTCAGTTTAGTCCTGATCCTCTATCAGACCTCCATCAGTAAAGAGACCATCAGAGAGAAGATGGTCTGTTTCTATAGAGTTATTCTTAATGCTCGTCATCGGAGCCACCGGGTCGGATTCTGGTGAAACCAGATGAACTCATGCAGGTTCACCAGAACCTCCTTCAGCTCAGACTCCAGCAGAGACTGATCCACCGTGGACAGACCCAGATCCTCCAGCAGAGACCGGTCCACCGTGGACAGACCCAGATCCTCCAGCAGAGACCGGTCCACCGTGGACAGACCCAGATCCTCCTGCAGAGACCGGTCCACCGTGGACAGACCCAGATCCTCCTGCAGAGACCGGTCCACCGTGGACAGACCCAGATCCTCCAGCAGAGACCGGGCCACCGTGGACAGACCCAGATCCTCCTGCAGAGACCGCTCCACCGTGGACAGACCCAGATCCTCCAGCAGAGACCGGTCCACCGTTGGCCCAGAATAAAGCGTTTCTATCTCCATATGGAGGACATTCTGATTTTGGCACGCGGGAGAAGTTTCAGTTGATCTCCAGATCTCACACACTGTCCCTTTAAATAAAGCTGCCTTGCCTTCATGTTTTCAGCTCTTTAATCTAACAGCCTCTCTAGCCTTCACTCAGTAGGACTCACAGACGCCAGGCTCGGGGCAGGTGAGGCGGCGGTCTTCAGGGACCAGGTGAGCGTTGTAGCGTTCGCTGGGCAGCACCTGAAGCATCTCAGACACCTTCTGACCGCCGCCCTCTTTGGTCCGACGGTACACGCCGAACCCGATATCTGCTCCGTCACTGGCAAACTGACACCTGAGGAAACACATGGTATCTGATGTCATTATCAAACTGTAACTGCTGCATCTGCAAAAATAAACAAATTAGCCACCATGTTTATTCACACAATCAGGACTGTAGCTGGTTTATTTTATTTCTTACCTGTCTATGATGTAAGTATTATGCATGTGCATATATATGCATGTAAGCGTGTTTGTAAGCGATTCTCATACAATTAAGAAGATTCATGTCGTACCGAGCTGATAAAACAAGTATGATATTTTCAGCTGCTAAATATTAAAATAAATCCTTGTGCTGTACCTCAGAAGGTTGCTAAAGGTTTAAATACTTGTGTTGTACCTCAGAAGGTTGCTAAAGGTTTAAATACTTGTGTTGTACCTCAGAAGGCTGCTAAAGGTTTAAATACTTGTGTTGTACCTCAGAAGGCTGCTAAAGGTTTAAATACTTGTGTTGTACCTCAGAAGGCTGCTGGCTGCTGAAACATCAAACTCCAGCTGGAAGACGGATCCCCGGCTGACGGTCACACTGTTGTCGTACTGAACCGTCACTGAGTCCTGGACGTAGTACGACTTGGGAACCGTACCGCCGTACTTTATCTGCAACGGAAACATCCACCGGTTCAGTCCCAGTCATTTAGAAAGACTCTCCCACAGCTCCCCCTGCTCTCCTCTCTCCCCCTGTTCTCCTCTCTCACCATGGTTCTGCAGCGAGGGTCTCCGTCCGGGTCGGTCAGGGTTCCTCCGTAGACCACAGGAAGCTGCTCCGGGTCGATGTGTTTACGCAACACCTCCTGCCAGTTACCTACAAACACAGGAAGGTAATCAATTAGTAACTATTGTGATGGTTTCAGTCATTTCTTTAATGGTTACTGTAACAGAGTATCTTTACAGTGTGGTATTAGTACTTTTACTGTAACAGAGTATCTTTACAGTGTGGTATTAGTACTTTTACTGTAACAGAGTATCTTTACAGTGTGGTATTAGTACTTTTACTTGTAACAGAGTATCTTTACAGTGTGCAACATGAGCGTGCTAACATGCTAAGCTAAGATGATGAAATGATAAATGTGCAGCCTTTCAAGCGGCTTCATTCTTATTGTCCACTCGTCTTACTTCCTAAAACGATGATCTTACGGCGTGTTTCCTCACACAGGAAGTGTTTGATGAGGTTGTAGGCCATGGGAAACATTTTGGGAGCTGCAGCAAAGACACAAAGACACAAACTCAAGATGAAAAACACAAAACATAGTGAACAAAATGAGATTTATAGAGAAACAGTCACAAGATGAAGCACCTTTGATTAGAAACACTCTCTTCAGCCCCTCTGGATAGTTCTCTTCAAACATGGTGAGGATCTGCAGCACAGGAGAGCAGCAATTAATCACATAACATTTATATTATATTTCATGTGAGGAAACGTGGTGATTGTGATGCGAGTTCAGCTCTCTCACCTCTCCATACGTCTCGATCGCAGGTTTCCAGATGTGTTTCAGTCCGAGTCCTTCACAGTCGTAGATCAGAGAGATCGCCTCAATGTTCTGACCCAACTGAGACAAGAGAGGGAGGAGGTGAGGAGAGGAGGGAGGAGGGGAGGAGAGGAGGGTAGGAGAGGAGGTGAGGACAGGAGGAGAGGAGGAGAGGAGAGGAGGTGAGGACAGGAGGAGAGGAGGAGAGGAGAGGAGGGGAGGAGAGAGGAGAGGAGGAGAGGAGAGGAGGGGAGGAGAGAGGAGAGGAGACAAGTGGACATGATAGAAGAGTAGAGAAGACACAGACCTTCTCAGACTGCCTCCTACACTCCCGCTGCAGCATCTCTGTGTGTCTGATCTTCGACTTAATGAAGTCCTGTTTGGTCGCCGATAGCAACAGACCTTTAGGGTCCAGAGGACCGATGACATCATACCAGATGGGGCTCCCCTCTCTGTCGAATCCACACATCCCCCCCGACACGTACTGCTCAATCACCTGAAGAAGAACTTATACTGTCATCATTACATCCCCCCGACACGTCCTCAAAAAATATATAAAACTATAAAATAATTTATGTTTCAATAAGACATCTACATTTAACTTTTAATCCAAAATAATTCCTGGAGTAAACCCCGACTCCTCCTGTTGAACATTTTTAAATGTTTTTCTTATAACAGATAAATAAATATCTGTAAATTAGTGAACGTCGTCACCTCTGGAGGTTTCCAGTCTGATATGATGGAGTCCACATTCATCTTCCTCCTGAACTCCAGGTGCTGCAGAGACACAAAGACACAAAAAGAGACGGAGACACAGAGACAGAGAGACAGAGAGACAAAGAGACGGAGACACAGAGACACAGAGACAGAGAGACAGAGAGGAGAGGTTATAAACAGGACATCCTGCAGCCGTTCAGTAGAAACAACATGACTGATGAACGTGTTTTAAAGACCAGCTCACCTTTCTGATCATGACTTCAGCTTTCTGCACATTGAAGCTACGAGCTGCAAAGAGACAGAAACAAATACTGATTATGAAAGTAGAGAAATGAAGCAGCAGTACTTTAAGGACACATTTGAGGTATATACACATGTATATAAACTAGAGTAGTAGAGTGCACTAGACTAGAGTATTTTCTTCTCATTTACCTCTGAGATGTAGTAAAGTAGAAGTATAAAGTAGCAGAAAACTACTTAGATACTTTACATCTACCTCAAAATTGTACTTAAGTACTTTAAGTGTCCATAAAGGGTACTTGAGTTAATTTGACAGAGGAGACAAAAGATTTATGTATTTGTCGGACATGTGAAACATAAAACACAAAGCACTATTATTCCTTCTCTGATCATCACTGATTTATAAATGTTGCACCAGTTCCCCACTAAATATGTCTGATAATCAAACAATAGAAAACATGTTCAAAGTCAAGTAAGGAAAACTGTCTGCAGCCGATGCAAATATTGATCGACCGTCCCAGAGTCCCCAAATCTGAACTATGGACCACTAAACTAACAGGATGTGCTGCACAGACGTCCAGCTCAACAACAGGCGAGTGACGAGATGGAAAGAGAAATGACAGGAATTCCTCTGTATGGAGACGGAGCAGCTAATTTAACTTGTACTCATCAGATCGTATATATATCTCTACTTATTGTATTTTAGAAGCCGGGTTTAGACTTTAAATGAGGGGGAAAGTACGTTCTGTTAAAAATCTCTGCAGCTTTTCTGAGGTTGAGTTTTGTTCAGCGTAAAACAAACATTTACTGTCAGATAAGACTATTGAGCTAAAGGCAGATCAAACCCTCCTGGCTGAGTAAATATGATATATTTCACGGCCACAAGGTCAGAGGGAGGAATGTTAAAGGAAATAAATGAATGAATAACCAGATCAAGGAGGACATTTATCTTCGCTTTCAAGGAATTGGTCAACATTCTCTGCAATAAATCCTCATTAATAAAGGCTAAATGCAGCTTTTTAGATTGTCAAAACGATTCTCTGTAATTAAAATCAATGCTTAACTGTTGGTTTTAAGTTGTGATGAAGATCTGAACCACAAGATGTTCAGCAAAGGTTACAGTTATTGTCTCACTTTAACAGTTTGACATTTTGGGAAATAGGCTGTTTTGCTTTCTTGCTGAGAATTAGACGAGAAGATTGATACCACACATGTCTGTGTGTTAAATAGGAAGCTACAGACAGGAGATGGTATGGTTAGCTTAGCTTAGCACAAAGACTGGGAACAGTGGGAAACAGTTAGCTTACTGTCTTCCACTAATTAATATCTTGTTTGTAAAACGTGAACACAAAAGTGTGACAAAGACAGCAATGGTTTTTCTAAACCTCGCACAGTCACCTTTGTAACCTTTAGACACAACCAGGCTAGTTGTTCCCCCCCGTTTCCAGTCTTTATGCTAAGCTAAGCTAACCGTCTGCAGGCTGTAGCTTTCATATTTAGCGTACAGACATGAGTGGTATAGATCTGAACAAATAATTCAAGTGTAAAACATGAATAGCATATTTCCCAAAATGCCAAAGAACTCCTTAAATAATTAAGTAATTCTCAGTTGCCAGTTTATTAGGAACACCTGGCTCAAAACATCTGACAATTAATCCACTTTTCGTGAAGGCTAAATGCATCAACTAAATGAGTTCAACAACCTGTTTGTTTCACTTTAAAACAAAGCCATGTGTGTTAAAAGTCTGTGTTTAACCCTTTTTCATGCACTGATTAATTAGAGATTTTGCTTCAATAAAATGTTCTCTTTTAAACTAGTGGAAAGAAAGCTTCAAAAATACAAATTTAGATGTTTATTTTACTACTTTGTCTATTTGCGTCTGTAAATTTATCCTAAATATACCAAAAGTTACCATTAAAAATGCCTAATTTGCATATTTAAACATAACATTTCTGAAAACTTGTAATACTAAAAATAATCATCTTAATGTCAGTAATGAACTGGAGAAGTTTCATGGTGATATCTATTAGTTAATGTATTATCCTATTCACCTGTAGTGTCTCCACTTAAAAAATACTTATCAGCTAAATGTACTTAAAGTATCAGCAGTAAAAGTACTCATTGTGTAGATAAATAATGTCTTCTGTGTCTGATATATTATTATAAATGTAAATATAGTCATAAAGTTTAGTCCAGTGGTTCCCAACCTAGGGGTCGGGCCCCTTCAAAGGGTCACCAGATCACTCTGAGGGGCCGAGAGACGATTAATGGAAGAGAAGAAGAAGAAACTCAGTCCTGATACATAAATATATATTAATTCTTTAGTTTTCTCTAATATTTGTTTTTTGGGGGGAAATATTGAATAATTTGACATCTTTCGGCCTCGAAATAGAAATCTAAAAACCTTTATTGTAAAAAGTTTAATCTTTAACGATGCGTTTGTATTTTTTAGTTCATAATATGTTATTTAATGTAAAATGTTAATCTGTAAAGTAACTAAAGCTGTCAGATAAATGTAGTTGAGTATAAATAGCATAAAATGGAAATACTCCAGTAAAGTACAAGTACCTGAAAGTTTTTCTAAAGTGCAGTACTTTCCACTCATTAGAATAAGTATATTAAATAAGCTCTTAAAAAGAGGGTAGACTGAGTCGAGTGTTGTGTAAATAACTCATGTTGACTTTAAACTGAACACATATGTAGTCCGGTGTGTTTTGATAATCGTTTGGCTGTTCCGCTCTGTGCCGGTTCTTTATCTTTGCTTGTTATTTGGATTAAAGGAGTCACCTTGTACTTGTTGTTTTGCCAGAATCGAACCCGCACAGAGAAACAAAAACCCGCTGAATGCTGAATTCAGGTTTGAGGTTCTCACCTCTGAGCCAGCGGAGGAGGTAGTGGTCGTGCTGAGCAGGCAGGTCGGGGAGGACGTCCTGGATCCTCTCCCGAAACTGGAGGAGAACCAAATGGAGCAAAAAAAAACATCAATCGTACATTTAAGAAAGCTGTTTTTATTATTTACGGAATAGTTTGACAGAGTTAGATGAGATGATTGATACCACTCTCTTGTTTGTACCAAAAATATGAAGCTTTGGTTAGCTTAGCTTAGCATAAAGACTGGAAACAGGGGGAAACAGCTAGCATGGCTTCTGTTTACAATAAGAAAGTTTAATATACAAGAATTAATTTTTTTCAAAAAAATCATCCGATCATTCAGATTAAAACAATTAATTAAAAAGCAACAATAGTGTAAAAGTAATTCATTATTTTACTTTTCTTGATCTTTTTAGGGGAGTAATGAATAATTTTAACCTTTTTGGGTCTTGAACAAAACAAGAGGAACTGTTAATAACATTTCATTTTATAATCTTATATGTTTTTCTATGTAAAATCTTAATCTGAAAAGTAGCCATAACTATATCTGTTAAATAAGTCTAGTAGTTGGATAAAACGTACAATATCTCATCCTGAAATGTAATAAAGTACAAAGTAGAATAAAATGTAAATACTCATGAAAAGTACAAGTACCTCAAAGTGTGTTTAAGTGCATTAAATGTACAACAGAGGTAAGAATGTTTCATTAAAATAAGATTAATGTCACAATAAGCGCTCAGCAGTCAGCTGGAGTTACCATAGGATCCCTGTGAAACCACAACAAAACAAAACCAGAGACGACAAGAACAAAACACTCCGAGGTCTCTGAGACGATCAACGATGAATCACAGGATCAATATCGACTCATAACATGTTTACCTCCGTCAACGTTTCAGCCTGTTTGGGGCTCAACTCTCCGACTCGTCCGCTCATCTCTGCTGCGACAGGAGCTGTGAGTGAAGTGAAGCGGAGGGAAAACTGCAGGTAGACCAGTAAACACCACACCCACACACCCACACACCCACACACACACACACACACACACACACACACACACACACACACACACAC